AGGCTCTGTTCTATAGCTACAATTAAAATATACCTCACCGCCAAAAAATAGGGATGGGGTTGGTGGGGTGGGGGGGGGGGGGCTAGAAAGGCAGACATGGAACATCAAAGACAGATTGAAATGTGTAGTCCGTAATAAGAGTGGTCTCCCGGCCCCCGGGTTCTCCACAGTCCCCTTGTTAATGAGAAATTTTGACCTCTGGTTTGTAAGTTAAACTTGTAATCTCGGTTAATGAAGTAAATCAATCCCAACTCCCAACACTTAGGCTGCGTGGCCCCCCCCCCCCCCCCCCTTTTGCTGTCTCACCCGCCAACCACCCCTCTGTCCTTCACCCTTGCACTTCTTTTTTTTCCTCGCCACACTCTCCCCCGTCGTTCCTCCTGGGAGTCAGAGGGACCGGGTCTGGACCCAGACCCACAGGAAACTCAGAGACCCTGATGTTTCTGGAGTCTGGAATCAGGACCTGAGGATTAACCAGGATCAACCAACCAAATTCTTAAATGTATTATTTATTTTTTGGGGGGCTCACCTTCTTCACCCACAAACCCAATTTGCAGACTCCTCCACCCCTGGAGCCAGATAGAAGTACCTGCCACTACAAATATGAATTTGATTTGATTTGAAAACTTCTTTTACAGTTTACAATTTTCTACTTTACATTGTCTCCCCTAGGGTGACCCCTGGGGGAGACACGCCTCACACTTTGGTTGGACACCCATTCCTGTGGTAGTGTGAAAGTCTGTGTGAGTTTTCCCATTTTCTTTTGTCCAGTTTTTATATTTATATGAAGGGCAGTTGACGTGACCTTTTTTGAGTTAACTTGAACACAGAGCTCCACTCTGGCTCCGCCTCCCAGTGGGGTTTGAGTGAACATTGACATTAACCCCTGATTAGCTCCAATATTTTCACCACCGCGGCGTTGAACGCGGAGCAGAACGACGTTTAAAATGCTGTGATACGGCGCGAGGCGGCGAGGAGTCAAGTGTGGGTTTCCTCTCTGGATGTTGTGCATAAACATGTTCATGGACCGGCACCTCCAGGCCGCCGCTGGTCTCACAGTGTCAGGGAGACGGTAATAAATTGACTTCTGATCTGGATGTGTTTGGTGTTTCCAGGGAGGCTTTAAAAGAACAGACATATTTTTTTGGGTCTCTGCGGTGGTTACGGGGGGGGAGGGGGGTGAGGGGGGGTCCTTGGCTGGATGCCCTGCGTTCTTTAATGCTCTTCTTCACTTCTTTAATACACTGCACTCTGCCAAGTTTCCTCTGCGCCACCAGTGGTTGTTGAACTCTGACCTCAGGGTTGAAGCATCCGTAATGCAGCTATAACATTAGAATTAAAACAGAGACATGTAAACTTTAAATGTAAACTTTGTAAATTTTTTTTTTTTTTTTTTTTTTTTAGTAATGATGAATGCACTTAAACATGAGTCCGTTTTGTATTCTATACTGAATACATAAGATAAGCACCGTGACCCAGAACGTTCTTTAAAATTAATGCAACCGCAAGTTAGGAGTATTATGATGTTCATACTTTGACAAACACAAATGTGTTTTATACATGTTTGTAGTAGTATACGGCCAAATATACGATCACGATCACGTATTAAAAAATTCACTGGTATTTATGTAATATGTTTTGGAAAGTCAAAATATATTTATATATGTATATATATATATTAAAAAAATATATTTAATTTTTTTTTTTTAAATGGTCATGCAGTACACAGGTTAAGACATTTCCAAATACCCGTTCCGTGTTAACGATGTCACATCCTTATTCTCATCAGTAGTTTTCAGAGGAAATCTCTCCTCCGTCCCTGCCTTTAAAACATTACCCTGGAATAATGGCTAAATATACAGTTTTGACAACAAAGTTAAGCCTCAGGCACTAAAGAGATACCCATCTTAAAGAAATTAATTACCTCCCTTGTTAATCTTGATATAATTAAATTTCT